CTGTTGGGAGAAGAAGTGAAACTAGGGGAGTGGGGAATCCCCAACTCTGCGCCTCCCCAGTGCAGATAAGGCCCGAGAACCTGAGAGCCCCAGAGGGATCAGGATTTCGTCCTGATCCCTCTTCTCCTACACCAGGCCTCTTTGTCACACTGTCTGCCTGAGTCCTGGACAAGTATCTGTCTGTGGAAACCAGGGAGAGACCCCGGGGCTGCACGCAGCCCCTTCCCCTTCCCTACTCGTCCTGGAATCCCCATCCCTGAACTGGACTCCCTGCCTCCCACACCTACCTCTCCCCTTGGACCTTTGTGCAGGGAAACTGACCACGGGGAACTTCATGCCAGACAGTGAGCTCACCCTGGGAATGGGGGTGTAGAGACAGGGGTTTTCTCTCTAAACCTGGTGAAGTTTTGTCTGAAGGCACCACGTAGAGATTCTCATAGAGACCAGTTTCCTTTTCGTTTATTAATACAGTAGGTAGCACGATGTTGGTAATCCCTGAATGGTTAGAAATCCAATTTGTAAAAGACCTGTGTCAAAACAGCATTACAAAGCTCCTAAGTTTTACTTTCCCAGACTATGGATCTGTGCCTCTGGGTTGTTGCCTTTAACATTACCTTCATTCCCTAGCCCGAGTTTCTCTGTGTGAGTCCAGAACATCTCCTGAATACAAAGAAGCAGGGTTTGTTACTGTCTATTGCAACCGGGAGCCTGTAGTCATCACCTCAAAGTTGGGAGTGCTCCATGCCTGTTTTCCTGAACTATGAGCATCTAAGCAGTGTGCATATTTTATCTGGACTCTCGATATTTTTGTAACTCTTTTTTTTAATCATAAGGAGCCACTTAGCTTTTAGGAAGTCCAACAAAATGTGTTGAATACCGAATGCAAAGAACCCCCTGCTAGGCTCTTCCACTGCTTTAGAATTCTTTCCTCTCTCGTTTTCCTCACCTCCTGCTTCTCCAGCCCTTCTCTCTGCCCCTCTCATCCTCACACCTCCCCCCACTTAGTCCCGGCCACCCTGTCACTCCTGAATGGTGGCACTAACACTGTCCCTCACCTCCTGCCCATGTCTGTTCTCCCCACAGTGCTCAGCGGTCCTGCTAATGTGAGCAAAGTCCTGTCATTTCTTTCCTTACTATGGCGGGATTTTGCTCTACAATTTGCTATTTGTTTTCAATTTGTCTCATATCTTTTTGTTTCTGTTCCTCCTTTGCTACTTTCTTATGTGTCAAATAAACAGTTTTTAGTTTATGGTTTTAATTCTCCTAGTGACTTTTAGCTATATTTCTTTACACTAGTTTTTTATTGTTGTAAGAATGGAAACCCGATTCCTTGACTTTTCACAGTGAAGTTCAGATTCTATTAAACTACATCTGGCAAAATAAAGGATACTTGTAACAGTGTAGTTTCATTTAACCTACCATTATGCTATTACAGTTTTATATATTATATCAATCTATATTATAAAGTCAATGGTACAGTGTAATAGTTTTTGTTTCACACAAGCAGCCATATGTCTTCAGGAAATTAAGAAAATGAGTGTGAATGTGACACGTGTGTGTGCATCATTCCTGTTGTTAATTATTCCTTTCTGTGTATCTGGGTCACCATCTAGTATCATTTCCCTTCACCCTGAAGAATTTTCTTTAAAATTAAATGTAGTACAGGAGCCCTGGGAAATGAATTTTATGGTTTTGATGATCTAAAAATGTCTTTATTTTTGCCTCCCCCGGCCTTTTTTTTTTTTTTTGCTTGTTAGGGCATTTACGTGTAATAAAATTCACCAGTTTTAGCTGCGCTTTTTGGTGAATATTGGTAATTATTTATAGTTGTGTAACTACCACACTGCCCAGTACAGAAACACCGAATGCACAGAACCCCCTGCTAGGCTCCTCCACTGCTTTGGAATCCTTTCCCCTGCTCCTTGTCCTCACCTCCTGCTTCCCCAGCCCTTCCCTCTGCCCTCATCCCTCACACCCTCCTCTCCCCTTAGTTCCCACCACCCAGTTACTCCTGAACTGTGGCACTGTAGAGAACAGTTTCTTTTCCCTAAAAACTTTCTTTATGCCCCTTTCTATTTAATCCTTGCCTCCCTCCCTCACCCCTTCCTTTCACTCAACCACCGCTGTTTTCTGTCACTGCAATAGTGAAATTTCTAGAATTTAATGGA